CGATCAGATGCTCTCAGGCTTTCTCCTAAGGTCTGGACTCCAGGAAAGATTTTGGCCTCAGGAATTTGGGGGTTGGACTGGCCTGGGAGCAGGGCCCAGGAAAGATGCTGGTCTAGAGCAGCTGGTGGCCGTGCCACCCAGAGATGCAAAGGGAGATGGGGCCAGGAAGAGGCCCCAAGGGCTCCTGGGGACTGCACTGATGAACTGGGTTGGTCTGGATGCAAAGGATCAGGAAGCGGAAAGGTCAGCCCTGGCATCCAGGAAAGAGGCTGGTGGGGTGTGCAGCCTAGGGAAGCAGAGCGAGGTGAGGGTGGGGCCAGGCCCAGAGGGCTCCTGGGGACCCCAGAAGGAACTGGGTTGGTCTGGATGCAAAGGATCAGGAAGCAGTGGTGGTTCACCTGGTGTCTGGGGTGCCAAGACGAGGAATGGGACAGGTCCCAGGCCTGGAGAGAGGCCTGCGGGTCGTCGCTATTCCTTTTGAAAAATGTATTTGTATTTTATGTATATGAGTGTTTTGCCTGCTTGGAAGGGCACCATATGCATGCATTGCCTGCCTGTGGAGGCCAGAAGAGGGTATCAGATCCCCTGGAACTGGAGTTACAGTCAGTTGTAAGCTGCTATATGGCGCTAGGAACCAAACCCAGATACTCTGCAGGAGCAGCCAGTGCTCTTAACCACTGAGTTGTCTCTCCAGTCCCCTGCCATTTCTTTGTTTTGTTTTGTTAAGACATGGTCTTGTGTGACTCAGGCTGTCCTCCAACTCCATATGTAGCTGAAGCTGACCTTGAACTCCTGATCCTCTTCCTTCTATGTCTCAAGTGCTGAGATTGCCACATCTACCAGCTAATCTATTCCATTTGGAAAATCTTTCCTAAACACAGCTGGTAAAGATGTGCATTCCAGAATGTTCATTGCAGTGTACCTTACCTTGAAAACCTGGAAATAGCCCAGATTCAATGGGGGTCTAGACGAATCAGACACATCAAACAGTGCTCTGCAGTTCAATGAGCAAACTAGTCAATCTGTTCAGTATGGTCACCTGTGACCCTATGTCACAAGGCTCAAATGCAACAGTTCCTGTTGATGAAGACATGAATTCCCTTGACCCTGCCAAGTGAAGCTGGAGGCCGCAGAAAGAGCTAGGGAGGGGGCACATGGGTACCTGAGATTTAGCTTCTGAGAGCAGATCCTAAACTAAGCAGCCCTCTCTTCATGGCAATCCCCAGAGCATACAATGCAGCACTCCCAGGACAGGCTCCTCGAGCAGCTGACCCTCCTGTGTGCCACTCAGTCCAGAGTCTGCAACCCTGCCCAGAAGGTACCTGCTGACATACTCTAAGCCACAGAGGAATGGGAGGCCAGAACCAGGTAGGATTTCCTATCAATCACACTGTCTCCTTAGAACCAGCTGAGCAGTGTCAGTTGGGCCTATTATGGGTGGGGCACTTGGTGTGGCCTTTCACATTGAATCAAGAATCTGATCAGGCAAATGCTGTACTATCCTAACTTCACTGATGGGGAAACTGAGGCTCAGAAAGGTTGCTGGGATTGCTATACCTCTCCCAGGCTATCAGTAGCAGAGCTGGGAGTTGATCCCCAAAGTTCAGACTCTTTCCCTAACTCTGTGGGCACTCTCATTATCCACATGACCTTGCTGGGAATGGGAGAGAGATCACATGACTGTGCCCCTTGGCCAAGTTGATTGGTCCAGTCCTGGGCATATTACCTCAGCCTAGCCAGGTAGAACTTTTTCCAGAGATTTTCTGGTTTGGCTTTAGAGTTGTAGAGGTGGCAGGGCTATAGGCAGCCACCTGTCCTGTCACATGGAGGAAGACAAGCTACAGGGACAGAGTGAAGCTGGAGGAGGCAAAGGTACAGCTAGGTTCTGGGGTCCCCAGAGACCCAGCTGCCCTGTCCTTCCCACATTGGTTCTTCCACACTTTCTAGGAATCTGGGAGCCAGTTGATCCTCTTTTCCCCTGAAGTAGTTGTGGGTTGTGCCTGGCCAGCAGAAAGAAAAGTCTAGACCTGTGCTTTCCAGTGTGGAAACCACCAACCCCACATGGCTACTGAGCACTGGATATGTGGCTAGTGGGATGAGAACCAACTATTTTTATGGATCCATTTCAAATAATTAGCTTGAATATAAACAGCCACCAGTGGTAAGCGGCCTCTCTGATTGGATGGCACAGATTTATGGATTTTTTTTCAATACTGAAGACTGAACCCAGGGCCTCACGCATATACAAGGTAAGTGTTCTGCCATTATACTACATCCCCAGCCCTGTTTTGACTTTTTCTCTCTGGATAGGTCTTGCTAAGTTGTCCAGGCTAGATCTGAACTTTTGATCCTCCTGCCCTGAGCCTTCTGAGTAGCTGGGATAATAGGCCTGCCCATCAGCCCTGTTGAAATAGAGCATTTCAGTCTTACACAGTTCTATGGGACAGTGCTGACCTGTCCTGAAGGTGGCCCTGAGAGCAGAGGGGTTCTAAGTGCTTATCAGCACACAATGGGCACACCTTCAGTGGCCACTATGAGCGCTGTGATTAGACAAGCCTAGCAGGCAGCAGGAATCCTGTAGAAGGGATTTGGCCACCCTGCCCCTCCCCATTGCAGATGTGCCGTATCGGAGCAGCCCGACTTTCAACCTGAGCCAGGCCAGAAGTTGGTAGACGGCAAGAAGCTGAAGACAGAGCCTCCCACCATCTTCATTGACCTGCAGCAGACAGAGCCACCAGAGCCACAAGACTCTCAGTCCCCAGAGAGGTACACAGCAGTGCTAGGAACTGGGCCTGCAGGTGGGAAAGGAGGACCCATTTGGGCAGGTACACTGTACTTTTTCCTCAGCACATGGCAGGAAGCCCAGTGGCCTTTTGCTGTCAGCTGGCTGCCACCCCTCTTGGATTCTCAGGGAGGTCTATGGGTGAGGGTCAGGCCTGGCAGCATGGGTGGGGCACACCCAGAGAACTCATATGATCTACTCTCCAGCTCTGAACACAGCTCCTCTAACAGTGAGGAGGAGGAGGAGGAGGAGGAGGAGGAAGAGGAGGCTCCCTCAAGGAAGGGCTGATGTTTGCATTGACTCCTGCAGGACAATAGAAGCCAACCAGAAAGAAGACTGCAGAACAAGTGAAACCAGGAATGGCAGCACACATTTGGGATCTCAACCTTTGGGAGGCTGAGGCTGCAGGATGGGGAATTCAAGGCCAGTTAAAAGGAGGAAGTGGCAGCCACTTTGGGAATCCAGGAAGGCCCAGAGCAGGTGGCACCTTCTTCTCGGGGACTGTGGTAACTGTCGTGCACTCTAAGGGCCCACATCTGAGAGGGAGGGCTCAGGGGCCATGGTATACCTGCCATAAGGGAAGCCTGTGGGCTTGGGCCTGTTGTAACTGCACACCGTAGAGGATGCCTAGCTCCTCCCAAGTGGCAGCCACTTTGGGAATCCAGGAAGGCCCAGAGCAGGTGGCACCTTCTTCTCGGGGACTGTGGTAACTGTCGTGCACTCTAAGGGCCCACATCTGAGAGGGAGGGCTCAGGGGCCATGGTATACCTGCCATAAGGGAAGCCTGTGGGCTTGGGCCTGTTGTAACTGCACACCGTAGAGGATGCCTAGCTCCTCCCAGGGACAGCTTTGGCCATTTTGTTTGTGAAAAACTGTTCCCCTGATTTGATCCTGCCCCTGCCTGTGGGTGGTGAAAAAGTGAAGAGAAAGTGTTAACTAGATATGAAAGAAGTACGTGGGTTAAAGTGCAGCTTTGGATCAGGTAGAGGCCCCAGAATGACTACAAGGCAAATGAATTCTGTGCCACAGCAGCCTGTGGTACTAGGACTATCAAGTCCCCAGGTGGCTTTCTCAGGCAGAATGTGGGTATCCCAGGAAACCAGGGTGAGAAGTGTTGGGAGGTCCCTGCCAGAGCCTGTAACAGGACAGAGGCCCTAGAGATCTGCAGTTGCACACCAGTCCCGACTTGCGTGCACATAGGCTCTGGGGTTTCCTTTGCCCCATAGAGGTCTCTTTCTTCTTCCCATAACACTCCTGGGCAAGACCTTGCTCATACAAATCAGGGGAGTCAAGGTCAGTGTACTGTCAGGAAAGCTCCCTCTCCCCTTGCTGAGGAGCTAGCTGCTCAGGGTCACAGCTCCAGGTAGGCAACCTAGACACACCCAGACTGGCCCTTCAATACACCATCTCCCCAGGCCTTGATATCTTCATAGTGTGGGCAATAACTTTGGAGGACTCCAGCGTCAGTCCCATGATGCTGGTGGCAGCCCTTCTGGTGGCCCAGGCTCTAAAAATTTTCTCTCCCACAATGACTGGGAAAGCATTGGAAAGTGCTTTTTAGTTCTTTCTAGAATTTTCCATCTGTTGGGTTTAACCTACCTCAGAGGGAAATGGAAGACTTGTTTAGTTGCCTTTCCTGTCTGGTGGGGAGCTGCTAGGCTCCTGACAAAGTCTTACTGCCCATCACAGAGGGAGGAAGCCACAAGGATCAACATTCATCTGCTTCCCAGCTGGATTGCAGTGGCTATCAGAAGTTACTAGAACATGCCCTTACTTTGGATTGGGAGCTGAGACTGCCTACATTTCTCTTGTTTCAGCATGGGGAAGTCTAGCCTTTAAAAAGTAGCATTGGCTGAAACTGGTTTTCCTGTCATAAGGACTGTACTGGGAAGAGCCAGCTTCTCCAGCAGCTGAGGGCATTTCAGAAGGAGGCTGCTCCATTCCAGCTGTCTGCCAGTGAGAGTCCTGCAGGCCTGAAGGCTCAGGCCCTAGAAGCTGCAGCCAGATCACAAACAGGAAGAAACATGTAAAACTCTGGGCTGAGGAGCAGAGTGCCCTTGCCCTGGGGGACCGTCTTGGGACACAACCAGCCAGGGAGGTGCTGCTTCCTCTGGGCCAGCCTTAGGCAGCTCAGGTAAAGACTGAGCTCAGGTCAAGTGTCAGACTTCCCACCCACACAGCCCTGGTGGTCCCTCTGCAGACCCTCATGAATCCCACCCAGCTCTGTTAGAATACAATCACTCTCTCTGTGTACAGAGCAAAGATGTAAACATAAAGCTTGACGGAGACTCTTAGAAACAAAGTGGCCCCATCTGCGGAAGAGGCTAGAAGGGACAGCTCCTCGCATCAGGGACCAGAAGGCTTTCTCACTTTCCATTTCTTCATTTTTTTCTTTTCATGAGTATTATTACATACAAGCTTCTTTTAAAAATCAAGTCATGAGGCAGAGGCAGGTAGGTCTCCGTGAGATTGAGGCCAGCTTGGTCTACATAGCAAGCTCCAGGGGCAACAGGGAGACCTTGTCAAATAAATAAATAAATTAAATAAA